ATGTATGTTAATCTTCCTTTTTAAAATTTACTCGTGGTCAAATTTCTTGCACGCTCAAAAGTGCCTTGTAACCTTCTATTAATCTCATTATGAGTTTTATAATTTCAGTATGATGAAGACGATTAGTGGTGCTGAAGCTGGTGGAATCTATTACCCAATCCTTAAGATCTCATTCGTCTTTTGTTCCATTACATTAGTGGCATTAACTACTTAAATCATCCTCAGCAAAAGTATCTTCATGTGTTTCTTCTTGCCTCTTTTGCCCCAAGTTCGAATATACTGCTAGTGAGCATGTCAAAATTCTTCAAGCATCTTTCCATCCACTAGTAAGTTTGGGAAATATCCTTTCTGAGTTTTAAATATTTGAGATCCCAATCATGTCTTTACCAATTGAGTTTTAAATAGTTTATTGTCTTTTAATAATCATCATGTCATCAGGGTTTATTTAATCATGTCGTTCTGATGTTAAATCAATATTTCAAACCTTTCAACAAAAAAATGAAGTTCAATTTTCTAATATTATTAATTCTTCATATTAAAAATACCCTAAAATTTATGCATCCTCAATTCCAGTCATTCCTCGATAATGAATCATTCATGAGCAACAGGTTTCTATACATCTCAACAGAATAGAATGGCAAAATTCAAGCATCGTCATTTACTCAATATGCATGTTCCACGACAATTATAGAATTTTGTTGTGTTGACTGCAAAATTAAAATTAATCTGCTCATTTCAACTGTTCTTGATAACATTACCCCCCTCTCCACCTTATATCTAGAACGTCTTCTTTTTATCTTAAACTTTGTTGTTCTATGTTTTATCCATTTATTTCATACAAATAAACTTTCTCCTCATATCATTCAATGCATCGCTTCGGTATACTCATATGCCTAGAAATGCAACCTTTTGCTAAGTTCCACCACCACGCCAACCTGTTCATACATCTGCAAATATTGTTTCTCCTCATATCATTCAATGCATCGCTTCGGTATACTCATATGCCTAGAAATGCAACCTTTTGCTAAGTTCCACCACCACGCCAACCTGTTCATACATCTGCAAATATCGAATCTCATAAATCTAATTCCTTCTTCATCATTGGCATAGACATAGCAAATATATCTTAGATTACTATAAAAGAACTCTGAAACCTAAAAGATTACTATAAAAGGAATGGAGGTAGGTGCGAGGACGCCCATAAGAATCCTAAAACCAAAAAATGTCTCGTGTTAATATATAAGAGCAAAGCAAATATCAAACCAACACATAAAATCTCAAAAATATTGAAAAGGCATACTCATCTGCAAAACAACAAGTAGTCTCAAACACTATGTCATTCCTTCAATGACAAAAAAAAGCTACACATAAGAGGAAACAGCTACAAAAAAATGAGAATGACAAATGAACACAAATAGATAGTCCAAGATAATAAGGCTGAATAAGCATTTAATCAATCAATAAAAAATGTGGGGAAAAAAAGGATAACATTTTGCCATACAGAAGAAATGAGCAGAATGCTTACTGGTATTTGTCAAGATCAGAATCTTTCAAAGATTCCCATAGAAGCACTCCATCCGTCATGTACTAGAAAAAAGAAAATCCAATGAATAAGGCTGACTGGCATTCATACGAGTAACTAACTAAACAAATAAAAAATAAATAGATAATTATTTAAGCTAATCTACTATTCATCATCAGAATATAGTTTCCATACAAAAGTAATGTAAATAAAAAAAATGATGACCAAGAAAGGAAATGTTGCTGGTACAACTCAAGTACAGAAAAACACCAATCTTTGAGATTGTTGTAGGAGCAATGGCACAATCCAAATGTCAAAACTAAAAGATACAAACTACATATAGAGTGATAGTACACATGTTTGTTTTTGAGCAATAACTCTATCTATATTTGCAAATAGCACGCCAAAGATTCACCTCAAGTGGCGTCAAAATGTAACAAAGGCTTAAAGGTTCTCACTTAAAACTAAAATTGAATAACTTTTCCCCTTCAATTTAGCTCGTTTTGTAGCCCAATAACATAGTACACATACAAATATTGTGAAAGTATCTGTGACCTATTGACTAAAAGAACATATTAGTTGTCAACTTCATTTGTGCGTTCAGGTGTGTTCGTGTGTGTCTAGAACCCTTTGAAATATTGTCACCCCAGTAAGTATAACGTAATATCCACAATGCTTATGATCAACACTTATTTCTATTTCTTATGCAAAAGTGGCATATGTCTACTACCATATTTTTAAGAAAAACTTCAGAGACTTATTTAATTGAATGTTTTTCCTGTTGGTTTACATCTAACATAAAACTAATTAAGAAATTATTAGGTAGGGTGGCTTGGTGAAGAATAATATTCCCAACCTTCGACACCATCATTGCATAGCATCTTTGTCTGGTGGCCAAATATATGGATTGCTCACCGTCCAAGGAAATTCAGGTGCATAAAGGCAAAAACTCTTATCTACGATTAGCCTTTATGTAAAGCAATGTCAGAACATTTCTTAAATAAATGATTTTATAGCATAAAAATGCTGAAAATAAACATTTTTTTTCCTGTTCAAAAGCAAGAAATGTCCAAAGAAGAATCCAATATCTCGAGAACACAGGCAAAACAAGATGGCATGTTGTTTTTTTGTCAAATGGAGTTTGACCAATAGCCTATTTATGTCATCATCCATACCCAATAAAACAGTCATTACCGGATCCCAAATCCCGGATGAGGAAAGTGAAGCGTTACATTCGATAGTTGATAACCAACACTATGACATGAATCTTTTAAATCATTGTGTCAGTGTTAAAGCGTCCCCTAGAAATGATGCATAGTATAACCTGAATATAATGACCGAAGTGCACGGGCCATTGCATCGGCGCCTAGGTGTGGTATGAAACAAACAAGTATTCCCACATTATGGACACATGCGGGAATAGAGGTCAGTTCATGAAAATAACATTAGGATAAAAATTTAGAATATAAATATTTTCACAAGTAAATTAAAGGAATTAATAGATATGCTTCATAAGAACATTTATGAAACTAAATGGGTTTGAGAAAAAGCTAAGGATACTGATATTTTAAGTTTTAAACTTTGGATTAAAGTATTAGTCGTGTTAGAAATGATTAGATGTAATTATAAATAACTGTTAAAAAAATAATGTTGTAAAAATTAGTAGAATTAGAGATAGAACTATAGCTCTGATGATTGTTCATACTAATGTTTTTAATATAGTAAGTGTTTATGCTCCACGAATAAGTTTGGATATCTGTCCAAAAGAAAAATTTTGGAATTATCAAGAATAATTAATACAAAGGATATCTTTTGAAGAAAAAAAATTTATTGAATGAGATTTAAATGGACATGTTGATAAAATAATAGAAAATTTTAGAAATATTTATGGTAGTTATGATTTTGACACAACTAATGAAGAAGCTAGAGTCATTTTGAGTTTTATTTAAACTTATGATTTCGTTATAGCTAATATGTTATTTAAAAAAGAGATGAACGTATTATCACTTATAAGAATGTATCTAATAAAACATAAATCGATTATTTTCTTATGAGAAAAACAGATCGTCGAGATTGTAAGGATTATAAGGTTATTCCAATTGAAAATTTAAATATCTAAAATCAAATATTGATTTTGGATTTTAAGATGAAAAAAGTAAAAATTATAATAAAATATAATCATAAAATTAGATGAGAACACTTACAAAATAAATAAAATTTTTTTTATGATTAAACTTCAAAATCTTAAGATTTTGGATGTTCATGAAGTTAATCTTATGTGGAATAAAGTAATGAGTAATTAAATAAAATGAAGTGTAGAAAAGCAATAAACCTGATAATATTCAAATAAGAATATGGAAATATTTAGAAGGACAGGAAATTTTTTAGCTCACAAAGCTTTTTAATATTATTTTAAAGACAAAATGTCTATTCATTCCAACTTTTAAGAAAAAAAGGATGCAAAAGAGTGAGCAAAATATAGATGAATTAAGTTAAATGTGTCATACATTAAAATTATGGGAGAGGGTAATTGAAAATCGGTTATGACGTGATACAAAAATTTCTCAAAATCAATTTCGGTTATCACGAGCTATACATTTCATTGAGAGGTTTGATGGGAAAGTATAAAGAGAATCTAACTAAGCTATACATTCATTCGTGAGACTGTTGACCTCATTTTTTTTGGTCATTTCTTTTTCCTTAGAGTCTTAGGATATAGTTCTAGGAGTTCCTATTGACCATCTTAGAAAATTAGAGGGTCATTTCTTTTTCCTTAGGGTCTTAGGATATAGCTCTAGGAATTCCTATTGACCATCTTAGAAAATTAGAATTGAGACCCACCTTTTTAAAAATTCTAACCAATTTCTATTTTTCTTTGAAGTCCAACATTTATGGCACAATACCATTGTCTTATGAACGAGCGGTTATGGGCTATTTTATGAAGACTCGAGGGAAAAGCTCCTAATAGGACTCTAAGCCTTAGGAAAACATCATCACGACTTTTCCGTCACACATACACACCAAATGCACAAAATTCACAAAATTGCACGAAATCGGACTTCAATTAAGCCTAAAGGATGGGTGAAAATGCGAACTTCTCCGGATGACCTCCGACGCCAAATTGGACTGCGCGAACGCGTCCGGGATACCAATTTTGGTAGGAAAGGACACACATATTGCCATATTTTCGACACAAGAAAATTGGCACGCAAATCAATGAATTCGTCAAATCGATAAATTCGTCAAAGCGACCTCTGACGGCGAAATAAACTGCGCCGGAGCGTCCGGAATGTCGAGATTACCTGAGGACACCTTTTTTTTTTTGTTTTGCTAAGGCGCCGCACATGGATAAATCATATGACCAAATTGGACTACGCGAACGCGTCCGGGATATCAATTTTGGTAGGAAAGGACACTCATATTGCCATACTTTCGACACAAAAAAATTGACACTCAAATCGGTAAATTCGTCAAAGCGACCTCTGACGGCAAAATAAACTGCGCCGGAGCGTCCGGAATGTCGAAATTACCTGACGACATCTTTTTTTTTGTTTTGCTAAAGCGCCGCACATGGATAAATCATATGAAATTTGATATATATAAATA